TATTCAGCACTCTTATCTGACCCGCATTTTGAGAAAGACAACAGCATAAAATATCCTACGCAAATTGTATGTGTTATTCTGCGTATTTAGGGACTGAAGCTATTGCAAATACCGACCATACATACCTATTTCTTTCAAATTTAATACGCCCACAGTATATTCGAACTGATATATCCAACATAAACACTAATTGACAACTAATGGTAAAATGTTGAGAAACAATTACGAATGTGCTTCAAACCTATGCTAAATGGACTCATTTTGACTATTCATCACTATTCAGAAGTTAACATGGGGCGATTATGAATATAAATAAAAGCGACAAAACTCTTTTTCATATTCAGTCGATTGTACGATTCCAACTATATCATGAGCAGGTGTTTATGTATCACTATCAAATAGTAATGATAACAGGTGTTCGCGAAAAAGCTAATTGTATCCTGCCCCACCGGCGGCACTCGTCACAAGCACATGTTAAGTCAAGTCACTCGTAGACTTTGATAGATGTATTGTAATATCTTAGTTAATTTGTGACTAGGGATACCATTAAAAGATAATATTTTGTTAATGGAATAGAGGTACTTAGTGATATCAGGCATATATTTCAATCTTAGGCTGTCGTAAATTGGACATATAAACAAAAAGTGTAATTCGTTTTCAATATGGTTTTCGCAGAATGGACAAAAACGCATATCCTTAGGAATAGAGAAGAAGCGACCCCTATTGCACGTCAAATTATTTAACCCTAGCCTAAGTTTAATAAATTTGTCTCTAATTTGTCTGTCTGTTATAGTATGCAGGTAAACCTCTGGTCTTAGGCAATATTTAAAGGTTTTATAGACGTCGTAGCGTGCACTGTTATCTAGTGACGACCTCCAGTTTTGAGTAAACATATCAATTGCTACCTGCTTAAAAGAGCTAAGAAAATACGTTTGTCTCCAACGCTTTGGTTAAGCCAAACATATCCAAATCCATGAGAGAAGAGTAAATGCTTAATGTTTGATGACAGGTTACGTAACCAACACTATCACGATAAACAAGCATTTCGTAGCCATTTCTTGGGATTCGTTCCCGCGACATCTGAGTAAACGGTTGGTTGTGTCATGGTACTCAGGTGGTGTAATCCATTGCTATTTTCAAATGGTATCAACTTACGTAGATTCTATGTTGCTGACTGTTGCATAAGCACAAAGCAAATAGTTAGAGTATTTAAACTGCCAATCAACGTTACCCCTTGTTAGGACACAGGTGTAGCCCCCCGCTTCCAGTAGACCCGACTGTCCTTCACACTGCATGAACTCCTCACAGTTCCCATCAATGCAGAGGGCGCCAAATGAAGGCCACGGAAAGAGAACAATGTTGAACAACTGCTGCAGCAACATCTCTCGCAGAAGCAATGACAGATGCTGGCAAGTCAGTATAGTCCAATGAGGTATATATTGATCGAAAATAAGACATAAATAAAACCAATCGTCTTCAAAACACAAAGCAGTAACGTTTGAATAGCTTTGACTTGTCTTCTTTCAGTACAGCATGATTGACATTTGATTTGGAACAAATATAACAATATAATTTACATATTTTATGAACAAGCTATAAAACATTTTTGATTTTTTCTTTGTAAGTTTACATTGTTATTTAATTTTAATGAATCTCTGTGCACGATCATATATCCCCGGGCCATCAGGGTGTAAACATTCTTTTGCATTGTAAATATAGTTGTAATGCCCAAGAACATACAAGTCATTTCCATTTCAATAATGAGTCTCTGCTCAACGCAAAACACAAGTGACAAAACCCTTTCTATAATCCCACACATTCATCGTACGATTGAAACTACATTTATATCATTAGCATGCATTTATGGATCACTATGAAATGGCGATGATACGATGTGTGAAATCTTTTCGGTGGTGTCTTAATCGCTTCAGCGCCATGTAAATATAGATCACACGAATATGAGCAAATTTCGGATTAATTCAAGAAAAGGTGAAGCATTTTCAAATCATTTAGTACAGACTTACAGAGTACTTGTCATTTGTCATGGTTGTGTCAATTGTCACTCGTGAAATGACTTGTTAACGGTTTAATTCAAGAACCATTGCCAGTCACCTATGCATGAAGGATAACACCACCAAAGTCAGTTCTCGAGGCAAGCGTGTTTGAATCTTGTCGATTATCAAGATCTATGCTGTCTTACCTCGCGAAGTGCATCAAATCATTTCAAATCATTTGAATATAAACGTGAAAAGATTTGGAAAATATCTGTCGAGGCCCAGTTGACAGTAAACATGTTTTGTACGTCAAATTCACTCAGTGTTTAGAAGTAGGGTATATGGGTGGCCTTGTCGTAGAAGGCGCCGCAATTCGCTCTGCAGAGTTGGGTCCCTTAGGCACGATTGTGGGTTCGAATCCCCGTTTGCTCCAATTATGTTTCTAGGTTTGTCAGCACCCTACCCGTGCTCGTGGGTTTCACCGAAGTGGTAAATGTCTGAGACCTGCATCACTTCGGGCTTTCCTCCCACATTAAGCTGACACGCCGTGATATAACTGGAATAAAGTCAAAAGCAGGGTTAAACCCAACTCACTCACTCAGTGTCAAGTAGATATCCCCCAGTGTCTGTACACAACATATTGGGCAATATAACTGGAATCTGACATAAACGTCATGCATGACTTCATAGTTGGGGTCATATTTTGAAAATATTCTCCATAGCCTCCAATAAAGTTCAAGGTCATCATAAAAATTGAAAATTCATTACTATCCTGGTGGCATGTAAATAATCAAATACGATCCAGGTAAACTGGTAACTGACAGGAAGAACACAACTACGACTTGTCGACACCAAGAACAATGTTCCACTTAAACACCAAAACTGTTCAACTTATTCAACATACTGACAGTCCTCTGCCTACAGGTCATATGCAGACTTTGGTGTTTTTCGGAGCAGCAGGAGATGATGTTTACAAAGAATAATTGTGACTGAGGATATAATGGATTTTTTTCAGTTCATTTAGGTATGAATAAAAAAAACGATATGCAAAGCGTCTGAATCCACGTAGGTGTCGATTTCTTTCTATTTGATCAGGTGTAAATGTCAACTGTCTGGTACTTATAGAGAATCATTCAGATGAAACTGACGAGTCATATTTTCAGATATAGAACCTGAAGAACAGAATCAGAAATCATCCAGGCCATTGATCACCATTTCGTGAAAACAAGAGACAGAGAAAAAAGACAAACAAGAGGCCAAACAGATGGATGGGATATTGTCAGATACTAATGCAAAGAAATACGTCATGCCACATAAACCTCCAGTGTCCAAGCCACTGCTTCTCCTTGCTATATATTCACAAACTGCTTGTGCCTGGACAAAATCATGTGCGTGCGTGTGTGCTTCAATTATTGTCTGAATCAAGTATCACCATTGAAACATCAGAGTTTCAGCAGTTTCCAGACTGTGGTTTGGTAGAATAACGAGTACAATACAGTATCACGACAACCTGTGCATGCGTGCGTGCGTATGTGCGTGCGTGTGTGCGTGTGTGCATGTGTGCGTGCACACCTCGATCTGGCTTCAATTTTTGTCTAAATCAGGTATTGCCATTGAAACATCAGAGGTTAGGCAGTTTCCAGACTGTGGTTTGGTAGAATAAAATTTGGAATTGGAAGCTAACTATACACTAATGATGTCATTTGGCCTTAAGTTATAGCAATAAGATGGATCAATGCATTGTATATCTATGAATACAATACTGACAATAATGTACTTATCGACGAATACTCCTTTCATAACATTAGATATGAAAATATTCAGAGCTACCAAGCTTAACATCTTCACGACCTCAAAACACTATGAACCTATAGGGCATCAGTCGTCTTTGGTGTTAACATTTCAAAGACAAAAGTACATTTGAAAGTGTAATTTAACAAGTGCAAAGATACACTTACTTCAACAGTATCACAATAGCTAAGCACTATTGCGATGCCCATAATATAGTTTACTGTCCCAAATGGACACCAGAACCTTCAAGTTAAGGATCGAAACATCTTGTTTCACAATGAAATGTAGCTGCTTCTGAAACAATATTTCAATAGAATGTTTTAACAAGAAAGAAACGTTAGAATTCGTCTGAAACTTTTCTAGGATATTGTCCAGGAACTTGTTTAGGATTTTTTCTAATTTAGGATCTTGCCTAGGAACTTGTTTAGGAACTTGTCCAGCTCTCTGGTGTCCTTTACGTTTACGAAATACATATTACACTTTTCATCGTGTCTCAAGCTAAATGTAAAGCAAGACATCTCTTGATCAATAAAGGAGCACCAACTCCTGTTACAAAATCAGGATTTATAAGATAATTATGTTCTTATAGATAACTCCTGCCTTGATGATGCTTTCGCGAATAACTGGTGTCATCATCATCTTATTGCTTGAGTATTGCTGGAAGCAGCATTAAACCGTAGTTATTCACACATATCCATCTGGTCTGCTTGTAGAGCGGAAGGTTGGTGTTGAGGTCCTCGGCCACGTCTTATTAAAAGGCCTTTGCGTTTGCACGTCTTGTTAAAGAACTGACCGGCTCTAGTTAGAATAATGTGTGTGAGTGGAGTTTCCATGTTAAAACTGTGTATCTGGCTAAAACTGGTTAGCCCTATTAATCAGGCAGGAATCCTGACTAATATGGTGCCGGCAAACCAAGAAACATAATCGGGGCGAACCGGGATTCCAACCAACGATCATAGGTTTCTGGCTTGCCCAAAGGGCCGCAACTCTGAGCTTACACGACTGGACCACCCGTGCCCCCTAGTCCGGACTTGTACAAGCAACCACACACAATGTGCTTGCACGTGGCTATATAAGTGAGACGAGGTGAAATGGTGTTTATTGGTCGACTTCAAGATTTTATAGCAAGGCGAAGTCAAATGTGTGTGTGTGGCTGCTTGTACTGGTCCGGTCTAATTATAGTACAAAACATTATTCTTTTATAATTCAAATGTAAACACAGATATTCATATTAAGAGCGTGAATAGGATTTATTTTTAGATTTCAAAGGTACTATAGTCTCGAAAGATTTGTCAGTGGGACATACATATCTACTTATTGTATATGGTCCAAAACTATCATTTAAAATATGGACAGAGGTATTAAGTTTCAAAATCGTGTAATGCTTGTGAAATATTTTACCTTCCTACGCATATTGACTACAGTGAAATCTCACAAACTCAGAGTCCTTGGAACTATTAAAAAGTATATCAAGTACAAGAAGAGGAATACTGATCAGGATTGTGTCGTCTTAAAGACAAATCGAATTATAGTACGTGCAGTTTACAATGCTATATTGCATTCCATGTTGATATCCTGAAATATATTAATTAATGTAAATTGACTTGATTTGGACGTCTCCTGTCACTGTGAGTGTGTTCATTGTCTCCGTCTGGAATTCCTTGGGGACTTCATGATTGAACAGCACATTGCCATCAACAGATACCTGAAATTACGAATTCAATTTTATCATAGATCGGTAAAAAGTAACGTTGATACACTTAAAATCTAAATGTTGGCACGTCCATGACGCTGTGAATTTATCAGCATGTTTAAAAAATCTGTCAAGAAAATCAACTTGGGTCAATGATTTGTTCTTGTTTAAAGTTTAGAAATACCTCACAATAGTCACACATTTCAGCCTTTGTTACACAATATCTGCACTTCCTCTACATTTGTTGCTCTGACAAGACTTAAACATAGACGTGTCCAACTACTCCTTTGCTTTTTACACACTTCATTACTTTTAAGATGATTTCTAAATCTATAAAATTTTACATTATTCAGATCTTCAACTGGACAAATTAGCCTTAATAAAAGTAGTAAATATTATTATTTTGCAGGAATGTATTGAATAATAAATTGACATTCTCTATTGTTTGCATAAAGGTACTTGATTCATCGTCTAAATAAACGTCTATCCCTCGACACCACTACCGGAGGTGAGAGAGAAGGATTCCAAAACAGCATGGCAGAAGTACAGAAAAATGACACTGTAGCGGATACAGGAATAGAACTAGCAAAGACAATGTATATAAACAATCACCAACAGCTCCAGTCGTACGTGTGAAGCACTCCGTTGTGCAGTACACTTTAACAGTTTGCCCATTTCCTAAATTCATTAACATTTACCAGTTTTCTATTACAGTGCTCATAATTCAAAATAGAGTTTGTTTTGAGACGAACCAAACAAGTAAAAAGACGTAATAACAGAACAATGGCAATTTTCCAATGTGGCTGCCTCGAATTGAGTCATGTAAAAATTGTCAAATGACGCCTTAGCTGCTATCACCTGACAATCATTTTGCTTCATAGGTAGTGTCGTTTCACAAATAATTTTGGACATTATGTACAGGTGTTTCTTTCTTTGAAGGCTTTAAGGTCTCTTAGTTGAAATGCATGACCCGAGTCTCTCATTTTCCGGCTCCATTATGATCACCAAAACGCGGAAATGGACCCCGTTTTGTGTATGATCATGTAAAACGTCCATGTTGTACCTGAAAGTCATTCTCCCCTAATACCACTTCTAACGTGAATGTCCTGTTTGCTAGATTAGGGCATCTTTCTGCAGTATTCCAGTCTGAGCCAGTTCTTCCTTTGCTGCTGTTATAGTCCAGGTGTTGGAGAGGAATTTCATCCTCAGTTTCTTGTACATATATGTCCAAAGAGGTGATTTCGGGATTTTCCACGGTGATGCCAAACCTTCAAATTGAACACTTACAAATTAAGGTGAGCTGAACAATAAAGATCTTGACGGAATGTTAACTTTCAAATAGGGTCAAACGGAAAATGCTTGAAAAATTAAATTATTTTGAATTAGTTATTTAATTTTAGTTTTATCCTGGCAAATCAGCGTAAAATCTGAAGTTCGACAGCAGTTCACTCCCTAGCCCTGAAATATTGCTTACAAACCAAGGATCATAATCACGGAGAATGTGGGATTCGAACCGAACACTATTTGTTTCTGACACAGCCAACAACATCAGCTACGCACTGTAGAATGTACCACTAAGCCTCATGTATCCTGAAATGCAGTCCCATAATTATTATCAAATTGATTTCAGGGGCAGATTAACGTAGATTTAGTATTACTGTTACGTGACTGTGGATTCTATTGTTAAATAATGATTGTAACGGTATAACATTGTTTCTGTTGAGATTCATTGAATTGTATTTAGACAAAGATTAGTAGTCAGGAATGTAGTACTGTTTGTATGTAAGCAGTGGTGTAAGTTACCATATTAAGATGCAAGTGTGATGTGAGAGTGAGTGAATTGAGTTTAACGCCACTTTTAACAGTATTCCAGTTATATCGCGGCGTGTCAGCTTAATGTGGGAGAAGCCCGAAGTGATGCAGGTCCCAGGGGTTTACCACTTCGATGAAACCCACGAGCACAGGTATGGTGCTTACAAACCTGGAAACAAAATCGGGGTGAACCGGGATTCGAACCTACATCCATAGGTTTCTGGCGTGCCCATGGGACGCAACTCCGCACAGGGAATTGCGGCGCCTTAAACGACTTGGCTACCCGTACCTCCAGTGTAATGTGTAAACTTCTCGTACAGCATGGATTGAGATTGAGTGTTATACAAACATGTGGAATATTCCGTGATGTGATGGCACTGTGTTCAAAAGTTCTGGAAGGCTTTTCTATGCTCTATGCTACCACGAAGGCGTGACTAGATCATCTCTCAAACTTCGTTGCATCAAGACCAGCTTGACCACCGCTGCTGGGTCAATATACACTCTATACAAAAAATCCGGTATATGAATTGGTTATATGTTTTTGGAAAATGTTGGTGGCCTGATACTCGACAAACGGTGCGTCAAAACGCAGCCATTGTCGATTTGCAATGTCTTAAACGGTATTGTTATCACACTTGTCCAATGTCATGGAGGAAAACAGTAAAGCAAAATACACGTGCAAGTTATGGCATTCGTAACTCGTGGTAGTGGCTATAAACATGCAAATTTAAGCCAATAATTTGTCATTCAATTGTCACCATTTTTCAAGTTCGAAAATGCCGAGACTCAGCGCTGCCGATCGGAACATCGCCATAGAACGTATCCAAAGAGGGGAATCGCAGTCTTCTGTTGCACGCCACTTCAACGTCCACCACAGCACCATTTGCCGCCTTAGGGACCGATACACACACTTAAATTCCACTGCAGACTGGCCGACCAAGAGTTACCATCCCTGCACAGGATCGCTACATTCCACTGTTCCACCTACGTCATCGCCATGTTACAACTACAGAGACTGCAGTACGCATCCCTGCTTTGAGGAGGATATCGAACCAAACTGTCAGGAACCATCTTCGCGAGGCTGGAATTTGACCCAGAAGACCAGTTATCGTCCCTGTCTTGCAACAAATCCATCGACAGCAACGCTTGCGTTGGCGCCATACCTTTCAGCCTTGGAATTTGAGAAACTGGAGACGAGTGTGCTTTAGCGATGAATCACGATTTGTTCTTCATCGGCGAGATGGAAGACAACGTGTTTATCGTCGTCGAAATGAGCGTTTTGCCCAACATTGTGTACGTGAATTCGACAATTTCGGTGGCGGTAGTGTCATGGTGTTGGGGGCCATATCCTACACCATGAGATCTGACTTGATTGTGGTTCAGGGAAGGTTGACAGCAAATCGCTACATGAATCAAATTCTTCAACCTCACCTTCTTCCTATCATTGACCGCTAGAGGGAGCTCTTTCAACAGGACAATGCTCCTCCACACAGCTCGTGTCCCGTTAGACTACCTTCGTACGTTTCAAGCAGAATGGCACAGAACTGCACAGGAAAGAATTCCTACACTTAACCAGTCATTGCCGAAGAGATGCAGAGCCGTGATTCCTGCCCGGGGCAGTCACACAAGATACTAAGTTCAGCGCTACCTTGTGGCCTTATGTGACATGACAATGAACAGCTTTCAATGTCTTTGTACAACGCCAACATGTGACTATCAAATTCCAAAATTTCTTGTTTGTATCTATGATATTAAAATAAATATATCGACTTTATTAGATACAATAAATTTACTAAAAATCTACCTGTGCGTTTCCTTTTTTGAAGAGTGTATAAATATCACTGACTTTTGCTATCACCACTGATTTTGCATTATATACTGACCACTGCTATCATATTGTCTTTTGCCATTGAATATTGTACTGACACGATATTGTGTACTGCCATTGTAATTGCTGTGCAGTAATTTGTATCGACTTGTATACCTGGTGAATTTTGTTTTGGATTTTTGAATTATATACCTGTTGTTGGTTGTTTTTGGTTTAACGTACAGATTTCTGGGTTAACACATTGATTCAATTTGGGAATAGACACGTTACATTCCTGTCATACATGCTATCTTCAATTGTTTCCATTTCAATGGGCATCTCAAACTAGTGCGAAACAAGGTCGCAATGTACATGTAGCATGCATGCGGCATCGTCGTGTTGTAGTCTTAGTGAGTTGGAAGTGACAGATATACACACCATGTAGAACTGGATGTTGTTGTTAAGGTGAAGGTCACTTTGTCCCCAGGCTTCAGACTTTCACTAACAGACACCTTTCTCTGCAGATACAACATTAACATTGGCAATTAACAGCTGGAAATGTGTTGTATTACGAATGTAATGTAAAATAAATTAGCTTAGGTAAAATCAAGTAAATTCCTTCTCTCGTGTACTGATAAGGAGTGTTTGTTTTCACTCAGAGAAAGTTACTCAATAACATGCGCAAATCTTCAAAAACATGTTCCTTATCAACGTATGTAATATCAAATACAAAAGGGTTATCTTAAAAATTATGCAGCCACTGAGACAGCCTCATTTGTTTAATCTTTAGATCTGTGCATAAAGAGTCATTTCCTTTTCAAATTAGGGATGGAATTAGTCAATGAAAAAATCCAGAATATTTCTAGATTGCCAATGCCATTCCACAATGAGATAGAACCAATGAGACTGCAGTATCCACGTTCGGTTTGCGATATTTACTCTTATGACACATGGCAACATATTTTATCTCATTCCATTTGTTTGTTGCCAGCTGCCTCGCGAATTTCCAAATATATGTAATCAGTGGTTTAATATATGTGAGTAAAAAAACAATTACAAAGAAAACTCCAATATTTAAATAACTATCAACCGAGGGGTACAGTATCCTCTAATAGTACCGATATGCAAAACAGGACACATCATATTGTAACAATATTACACAGTCCCTTGCTACTTACTTTATTGTTTTCATTGGTAACATGATTGGTGTGGCATGATCGGCTCCGTATGTTGGTGCCATAAGCCAGCTGAGCAAGGAGGAACGAGCCATTTGGACATTGAAGCTCTTCAGTGGCAGCTGTTCCTACAAAATCAGAATATAATATGACGTAGTTTTTCGGAAAACTTATACAATTTTTCGCCGGGGAACTTACAAAGGTGAAAATGACATGTGTGTAAGCTCTGAATTGAGAAAATATTCCTTACTGAGTGGTCAATTTGAGGTTTCAAATCACAATGACATCCTCTGTTTGAAACCACGGATGCAGTGAAATATGTATCACAAATGTGTTTGTAAGGGCCTACTCTGAATGTCACAAGTTTAAAATAAAACAGAAGCAGACCTCATAAATTTTGTATAACGGTAATGTACTGACGACATATGGTGGCTGTCAATGTTACATCTAATCAGGACACAACCGTATAACCCTGTTTCAATAATAATAATAATATTAATAACAATAATAAAAATAATAATAATAATCGTTCTTTTCTAATGTCTTTTTGGCAACATTCTTCATCAGAGACGAAGCAAGGTAAATGACGGAGGGTAAGTCAGTCCACAAATACTTATGCTGTACCCGTCCTTACGTATTCTTTTGGTGTTGTTGATTGGACGAAACAAGAAATGCAGGGTATTGACACCCTCATACGAAAAGTCATGTCAGACAATAGATCCCATATCAAAACTCATGATGAAAACAAGGCATTCCACAGTTTCCACAAACGAGGCAAGGATGTGGGACATTATCTCAATTTCAGTGTTGATTTTGTTGATGGTTCTGTACTGCTGGACGGTATTGGGTTTACGTGCAGTGAGTTTAGAGGATCAGCAACCCTGCAGAGTCCTTTGTTTGGTCGAGGTCAGCTGGCCTGAAAAGTGAAACGGAAGGCTTTCTATTTGCTGCTCAGGACCAGTCACTTCCCACTCGAAACCGTCAATGATTGTGTAGCTCGATTATATTATTACCGTCTTCGCCATGCTTGTAGTTTGACACGACCCAGGATATGTAGACAGCGTCATGGAAAATGATGAATTTCAAAAGTCTTTGGAATAGGCCCATTTACAGCCTCAAACGTATCCAGGCCAAAAACTCTGATCTTGTCCCTTTTGATAAATCCAATGAAATCATTGAATTTTCTGTCCCCTTTGACACGAATGTGATTGACAAGATTGAGGAAAAAATATGCGGACCTCGCTTTCGAAATGTCACACTTGTATCCCCAGTACCAAGTTGTCCGACTCCCCATTGTTCTCGGTGCTTTTGGTTTGGTACCACCCATTGACTGACATTGAGAGAGTACCCGGGTTTGCTACCATGAAAACAGCCCTTCTGACAATCTGGGAAATGCAGAAGGCTGCAGTGTTGGGGAGTCTTGACATCCTCCGAAAAGGTCTTAGTAGGTTTGACTGGGCAGCACATTATTATCCCTAAATTACCTGACGCAGTTGTGACTGATGACCAACACATGGGCTCATGACATACAATTCCTATTGTTGGTCTCGAAGATTTTGAGTTTCCGATTCCGACCCCTCTTCTGCCCGTTGTATATATTTTGTGTATATCGTCACATAATATCCCACTCGCTCAACAATAGTAAAGCGACAAAACCCTTTCAAATATGCAATAGAATCTCTATTGGACGATTCCGACTATATCATAAGCATGTGTTTATGAATCACTAATGGTACTAGTCAAAATGAGGAATTGCATCTGACATATTTTTTTGTCACTGATGCGTCAAATTCGGAAATGTCCTCCACATGTCTTCCATTAAACGTTTTGAAAGCTTTACTGAGGCCTTGAATTTCAGACAAATTTACCTCTTGTAATGTAGCAGGAGCACACACCAGTCATTTGATCCAACTGATTGGCAGACTTAATGATTTCCCTGCATTTCCCGTGAGCACATTGTTCCACAAATGAAGGCTTTGGTACGTTCGAGCAGAGAAAGATGTTGAATAACTGCCGCAGTAACATCTCTCTTCAGGAGTGTCAGACCAGTTAAAAGACTAACTGGTCGACAAAGTCATCCTGATTTGTTTCATACAGGTAGTGAACATGATACGTACACATAGAAATATATAATTTGAAAGTCAGTAAAATCAATCATCAAAATACAGATAAACAGTCAGGTTATTTCTCTCCTTTTCGTAAAATATATGAAAACCTTTCACATTACATTACATTACAATAAATACTTCATGGCTGACATTAACTTAACAGAAATAAATATTGTCATCCGAGTAAACTGGAAAGCAAAAAAAATGAAATACACAAACACATTAATAAGTGTTTTCTCAGCTTATATAGTATTTTCACGTTACATTAAGCGAATATGGTATGCCTCATATAACATTAACGTTTATGTTGTGTTTTTTATTTTGATTAATGGAGGCTCTTGGCAGGAAGGAAGTTTCTTAATTCGGAAGTTATATTTCTGTAGACTTGCTATTGAACTTTGCATTATTTCATATTGATAAGTATATTCAACACTCTTATCTGATCCGCATCTTGAGAAAGACAACAACGTAGTATATCCTACGAAAATTGTATGTGTCATTGCAAAGACACCCTTCAAAAAAAGAAAGGCACAGGATTTTTAGTAAATTTATTGCACCTAATAAAGTTGATATATTTAATTTAATATCATGGATACAAATATGAAATTGTGGAGCTCGATAGTCACATGTTGTCGTTGTACAAAGGCATTGAAAACTGTTCATTGTCATGTCACATAAGGCCACAAGGTTGCGCTGAACTCAGTATCTTGTGTGACCGCCCCAGGGCAGCAATCACGGCTCTGCATCTCCTCGGCACTGACTGGATAAGTGTACGAATTCGGTCCTACGTAATTCTGTGCCATTCTGCTTGTAACGCTCTGGCCAGTGGTGGGACTATCTGCGGCGTGTTTTGACGTTGACGTACACGTCGATCGAATTCATCCCAGGGCAAGACGTTAATGTTGTCACTATGGAGGTTCTCCACCGTGACACGAGCTGTTTTCGGTGGAGCCTTGTCCTTTTGCCATACACATCTATTTCTTTGTTTGTTTGGTTGATTGTTTTGTTGTTTAACCCCGCACTCAGCAATATTCCAGCTTTTTGACGGCGATATGTAAATAATCGAGTCTTGACCATACAATCCAGTGCTTGACATCATGAACATCGATCCACGCAATTGGGATACGACGACATGCATCAACCATGTCAGCGAGCCTGACCACCCGATCCCGTTAGTCGCCTTTTACGACAAGCATAGTCACCTTTTACGGCAAGCATAGTCGCCTTTTACGACAAGCATAGTCGCCTTTAACGGTTGCTGAAGAGTTATTCTACTCCGCCTATCCACGGGTCGTATCAGATATAAACGTTGGTTGTAATTATATGGTTGAGAAAACCAATTTCTTTGGTGGTGATATAGTGTAGTAATCAGACATATCACACTTTTATTATACATTGCAACTCTATTTTGACAAGGAATTTGGTCGAACTGGAGATTTCATTTTCAGTGGTTCATTCATATGGTTTTCACATCCATTTTGCCCTTCACGCCAAATGGTAATGTTTCTGCGGGGCAGCCCTCTTGGTCTAGTGATCGTGCGTCTACCCAGAGGGCGGAAGGGCCGGGGTTCGATCCCCGGCCGCGCCATACTAAAAGACTTTAAAAGATGTTACTTGTTGTTACCCTGTTTGGCGCTCGGCATTATGGGGCGAAAACAAGAACTGGTCAGCTCGGAGGCAGTATACTGTGTTAGAGTTGGGTATTTATGTTAAACTGCGGCATGGTATCGCAGTGAGCTAGCACTATAAATCGGCATTAGTCTGGACAAGAACAAGCAGCCACACAAACACACACAATACATGCACGTTGCTATATAAGTGCGACAACCGTGACGCGACGCGATGTTCAACCCCATTTCACATCACCTCACCTGGTTCTGCAGATAATCAAGACTAGTTATTTTTTCACTTGTATTGACTACTGCTATTTTAGTAAGCTTCGTGAGCTGCCATAGACCATAAGAGCCGAACATTTGTATATTATCCTTTCTTTCTCTTTCTCTTTCCAACCGAACGGAAACAGTTTACTGGATGTCATCATAAGAATTGTCTTGGTCGGCTAATCCTCAGTGAGTGAGTGAGTATGGTTTTACGCCGCTTTTAGCAATATTCCAGCAATATCACGGCGAGGGACACCAGAAATGGGCTACACACATTGTACCCATGTCGGGAATAGAACCCGGGTCTTTGGCGTGACGAGCGAACGCTTTAACCACTAGGCTCCTCGACCTCCCTGGCTCATCCTCAGAGATACGAAGAAACACTATCTATGTCATTTACTTTTTCATTCAGATAAAGGATCTCGTTCAGATTCATAAATATTGAATGCAAAATAACAAAGAACAAATCAAATTGTTTAATAGCTTCATGTCATGTTTGATCAATATCCACATGAAGCAGATGTATACCTTATTTAGACTATACTGCCAAGCCAGCATCCGTCATTGCATCTGTGAGAGATGTTGCTGCTGCAGTCGGGTCCACTGGAAGCGGGGGGCTACACCTGTGTCCCAACAAGAGGTGACCTTGATTGGCAGTTTAAATACTCTGATACTTACTATTTGTTTTTGTTTATACCACAATCAGCACCAGTTAATCTATGTAAGGTCATCGAGTCTAAATATATGTCAATATAATGGTTAGTAATGTACCGTGTCATCTGAGTACGCTGATACACGATCAAACAAGCCTGACACCTGATACCAGAACGTCGCCACGACCATTTGGTCAGATATACCATTTAGTCATATATCACTGTGATCTTTCAATTCTTTCAATTCTGTAACTGTACAGAGGTATACGACTATATGGGTATAACATAGCCGATCTAAAATAGTGATAATAAAACATTTGCTAGGCTTTCCCACCGCCCCAAACTATGCAGTATTCAGCTTTTTAATAAGGGCTGAAAACACAGACTGGAAATGTACAAATAATGTCAGGATTTATTTTGAAGTTGCAAATTAGTCACGGAGTTGAATATTTTGAGATAACTGTAGCTATATTATTAAGAGAGAAAT